ACCACCACACATATCTGGTAAAAAATACAGGAAAGGGCTGCGCTATAATAAAACTTTAAATAATACGAAGAAAGTCCAGATAAAATCAATGAATAAAAGGAGAAAGTCTTATCTGGCAATGTCCGTTGAAATCGTATTATATGATGGTACTTGGTCCAAAGCAGTAGTATTACTTGTTATCTTCCTTGTAGGTCGTCTCATATGCAAGAAAATAAAAACAAGTACAGAGCCAAAATAGTGTAGTATATCTTGAATAATAAAGGAAGTTGAAATGTAAAACTTGATTGCAAACTCACATTTAAAAGAGCTAAAACCCGCTCTTGTAATTAGGGCGTACAGCGGTTTAGATCCCCGCTTGTAGGATATGGAAATGACTCTCCTTTGCGTCCTTCCTCCTTCCGTAGTATGAAAGACACTCGAGTAAAAAGAAACAGCCAATAGTGTTCTCTGAATAAAAACTTAGGATAAAATATATATAATAAAAAGTGGATACTCACAAGACAGGAGCAGATCAACTGCTCCTGGTAATTCGCATTGGTGGTATAATCCCCACCTAGGATTGCTTGGAGTCCAACGAATAAAAAGGAATGGTGCCAGGTAACAATAATAAATATATGTGTATAAAAAGATAAATGGTACGATAAAAGGTTACCAAATATGCTTTAATATTAAGATATTTAATAGATAAGTTGGAAAGGACCACTTCATGGTGTTTTTTAATAATAAGTGATTTGGAATGAGTGATTCTAATGCCTAGATATGAGAGTGATGTGGTTCTCCAATCGAATGGGTAATTAACTTTCAGTTTCTCCACTATTGGCGATGTCAGTTTTATGGGGAGTATCTGGGTTTTACTAATATTATTTTTGTAGTAAGATATGGAGCCAAAAGGGGTAAAAGTATTAAGCAGGTGTGGGATTGAGTCTGTTGGGTTGGTAAGAATGATTATTAAGTCGTCGGCAAAGAGGGCAATTTTCTTTTCTCCCGCCGGGGTAGTGAGACCAGGGAGTAAAGTGTCTTGTTTTATTTTCCTTACCAGAGGTTCCAAACAAAGGATAAAGATCAGGGGCAAAAGAGGGCACCCCTGTCTCGTGCCATTTGTGATACAGAAGCCTCTGGATGTGAAGCCAGAGTTCAAAACTTTGGGTGAGGGAGATGCATATAGGGCCATTATGCTAGTTAGAAAAGATTTGGAGAAGCTGAAGGCTGTTAGTGTAGTTTCCATATATTCACAATTTAGGCGATCAAATGCCTTTTCCGCATCTAAGGCCATTAGAACACCACCCTGATCCTGACCATTGGCCCAGCCCACTATGTCCATGCAATATCTGGTATTATTCCCCACTTGTTTTCATGGTACAAACCCTGCTTGTTCTTCTGAAACTAGTTTGGTTAGGAGAGGTTTGAGCCTGGCAGCTATTAATTTTGCGTTAAGCAAGGAGATTGGTCTTAAGTTGCTGCATATTGTTGGAGATTTATTTGGCTTGGGCAGTGTTATGATGTAAGCTTCCAGCATTTCCTGTGGGAATGTGCCAGATTGTTTGATTGCATTAAATAGTTTCTTAATGTGTGGAACGAGGGGAGTTGACATTTTTGTATAATAGTAATTCGAGAGTCCGTCGGGGCCCGGGGCTTTGTGTTTGGGAAGAGAGTTTTTGGCTTGTGTTACTTCTTCTTCAGTAAACAGGGATTCTAGAGTTTCGTTTTGATGCTTTGTGGTATGTGGGAGTGTAATTTGTGATAGATAATTAGATATCTCCAAGCTGTCAGAAGTGTGAATCATTGTATTATTTTTAAGGTTATATAAATCTTCATAGTAGAGGGACAGTTCATCCACTAATTTGTTGGGATTGTAAATTCTGATGTTCTCTTTGGATGTGATATAGGGGATTTTTGTTTGTAGGTATTTAGATTTTAATTGATTTGCTAGTAATTTGCCTGCTTTGTTGCCGATATGGTAGTATTTTTGTTTGTTTCTAATTACGTTCTTGGTATATAGTTGAGTATGTAGATTATGGATACTTGCTTGTAATTTGGCAATTTGTTTTGATAGAGTTTTGGAGGGGGATTTTTTGTTAGATTGTTCTAATGTTATAAGTTCTTGGCGTAACGAGGTGTCTGTGGCCTGAAATAGTTTTTTAATGATGGAGCCTATTTTGATAAATTCGCCTCTAATGACTGCTTTATGGGCTAAGCATTGTGTTACTAATGTGGTATCTTTAGTGGTGTTGAGGGAAAAGTAGTTGTTGATTTCTGAAACTATTTTCTGATGGTTAATGGGGTCGTCTATGATGCATTCGTTCAATCTCCATTTACCTCGGCCTTTTGATGGATATGGTACTGCTAGTGTGATAATAATTGGTGCATGGTCAGACCACGTTCGTTGGCCTATGGATTGATCCATTAAGTGGGGGAGTGTTGATTTGTCTATGAAGCAGAGATCAATTTGTGTATATGTCAAGTGTACCTGTGAAAAGTATGTGTAATCTTTTGCTGAAGGAAAGAGATTTCTCCACGTGTCGTAGAGATCATGGGAGTGTAAAAGATGTGAGAAGAGTTTACTGTTTTGGACAGATGTTTTGTGGGGCGGTTTATTGCTTTTGCGTTTGGTATCAAGTGATGGGTCAAGGGTACAGTTGCAGTCTCCACATATAAAAACGTGACCTTGTTTCATAAGTGATATTTTTTAAATTGTTTTGTTAAGGAAGGAAAATTGTGCTTCGTTTGGGGCGTATAGTGAGGCTACTGTCACTAGTATTCCATTTAATTCGCCTACCAGGACCAGCAATCTACCCGTCTGATTTATATATTTCTTGTGTAATGTGAAGACCCAGTCCTTGTGAAAAATTATTGCTACACCCTTAGATTTGTTAGGAGCATGAGCATAGTAAGCTGTTGGGTATTTCGTTGATCGAATTTGGGGTGGGTTTTTTATGCTGAAGTGGTTTCCTGAACACATACTATTGCCGCCTCGTGCTCATGCATGGTTTTTGTTAATTGTCTCCTCTTAAAGGGGCTATTAAGACCTCTGGCGTTAATCGAGAGCATTTTCATTGAGTGAGGTGTCATGGGTAGTGTAACATTATATAGCTATGGGTGAGAACTTTTTTTTTTATTGGAAGATCAGTGATAGATGGGTATCTTTGCATACATAAGTTATAGACCTGTTTGATCTACTAGGTATATGTTCGTTGTAGCATTTTACTGTTGTACTACTGTCATGTATATAGGTGACAGGCGTCTGCCTCCCATGTGACATGCCCTGTGTATTGAGACCTATGGGAAGGGGGGTAGGGGAATAGAAGAGAAGAAAGTAAGAACAAAAGTATTTACATATGACTCCCTTATCAGGAAGACACACAGAGATCAACTCTGGGGTGTAATAGAGAAAAACGATCCCAAAGATGACTAGGAAGGGCTATGGAGCTCCTCCCGACCAGAAATTGTGTCATGTTAACAATACACTTGAAAAACAAATGAAAAGTAAATGAAAAGCAAAAAAAAATGGTGATCAACTCTGATCAATATTACCTGAGCCAGGGTACTTTGGCTCGTACATACATGCAAATCGTTTGCGAGCACAAAGTTGCTCTGTAACTAAAAAGTTTGTTTGAGATTTTAATAGATGCAATGATTGCTTTACATGGCTAAGGAACTGCAAGATCTATGATCCAGTGGGTACCAGCCCTATACTAGCTACTGAGTAGTTACATTGCACATTAATACACTTGTGATTGTGATATGGTACATTACAGTTTGCAATATGTTGCAAATTATCTTACATCATTTGGAGCTATAAGTAAACCAGTAGTTTCTTGGGTTCACGTAAGCCTGAATTTGTGTATTCATATTATAGCAGTCAATTTTTCTATATGTCGTAGCATTTGATTAAACCTTAACCCTGTACATCGTCTTAATCTATACTGGTCTAAATATAATCTTGTACAGTAAAACTTGTTTAGCTAGGCAGCAGTCGTTTTTATGGGAATCGTAAGTAGTTTATCGCATATAACCTATGTACATGCTAAAACAATATATGCTCCTTTAATTGCATGTATTAAATTTGTCTGCGGTGTCTAGTGGTTAATATGTGACTAGGAGGCTAATCGGTAACAGAAAGCATTGATGTTTGTCTATAGGACCTTGGGAATAGGGGTAAGGTAATGAAGCTAGTAAAAGAATATTTACTCAGGTAACAGGGGGTATTTGTACTTATTCTGATATGTGTATCATGTACCAGTAAAACCTGCTAGAGAGTTACTTCAGAGTTCATGGCTTTTTAGATGGTGTGCCTGCCATTTGTCATTCTGCCTGCCTTCTTCTTGGAGAATTGCTGTTGGTTGTGTTTTGGGGGGTAAGCGTATTCTTCCACAGTCCCCAAGTCGTAAGTAGTTTCATCCCTTCTGTTGGTTCCCTTATAATTTGGTTCTTCCCTTGTCTCCATATTATCAATTTGGTGGGGTAGCCCTATCTGTAAGCCACATTGTTGTTCCGTAGCATTTTCATGATCGTGATGAATTATTTTTGTTTTGCCATCGTTGTTGCCGACAGATCTGCGAATAAAGCGATTCCTTGGTGGGGTTCAGGAAGCGATGTCACCTTCCTTGATGCTGATAGGATCCTTGTGGGCGAAGTAGTAGAATTTAACAATGGTATCTTTGGGGACTGCATTGGAGAGGCGAGCTGGCCTTGGAAGTCTGTGCATTCTGTCAAAGGCCCATGCTGAATCTGGTAGGCCCGGGACAAGTGATTTGCAGATTGAGAGGATGTAGGCTGGGAGAGCATCGTGGGAGATGTCCTCTGAAGCGGACATTTTGTCTTCTCGATCTGTCTTCAATATCTGCTAGCTTTAATTTTAGCGTTTCGTTTTCTTCAGACAATTTTTGTATTTTGTCCACAACTTCATTATGAGCCACACATAATTCTTCGGCTCTATTCTTGAGGTGACTGGTCCTGTCTCCAATAATCGAGATTTATTTTCTCAGGTCTCCATTTATACGCTAAAAATCTGCTGTGATTGCAGCTCTGAGCTCTTGTAGCATCTTGTGAAGGCTACGCTCCATCACAGGAGATTCTGAGTATTTAGCAGAACTTGTTTCATAGTCAGATTGGCCGTCCGACATTGTAGAGGCATCGTCGCCATCTTGATTTTCTCGGTGGCGTTCCATTTTTTTTTGTTTAGCTGACTCCGATATATTTAGTTGCTTGGAAGGTGGCATTGTGTGCTCTGGCACCGTTGTTCCTGTGCAGGGTAATTCTTCCCTTGTTGTTTTTTTGCTGAGTGTCATGCGTTTAGTAGCTTACAAGCCGGGGTGGTAGCTGAGCTCCTAAGCCAAGCAACCACTCTCACCGGAAGCTGGACACGCCCCCCTGATGATAGGTGTTTTTTTATGATCTACACAGTTCAGCCCTGAGCACCCCAATGAATTCCTGAATATTATCTTTTAATAAACCTAAAAATACTTTCCCAGCCACAGAAGTTAAGCTCACAGCTCTAAAATTACCAGGCAAGGAGCCATTTTTTAATCTAGGAACCAGATTAAAATTAACTTTCTTTAGTTGCTGCAGCACATTGTCTTGAATCATTTAATCACAACTTTTCTGTAAGTTTTTCACAGCAATCATTAGCATATCTCTTGTCATAGGTTTGTACTTAATATATGCTAAGAAAAAATAGCTGGTCTTCATTAACTGATGAACCCATCTCTGTTTTTAATGTGCCTGCATTTCCATTTTTTTATTTTAACCCCTTAAGGACACATGACATGTGTGACATGTCATGATTTCATTTTATTCCAGAAGTTTGGTCCTTAAGGGGTTAAGAACTTATGTAATTGAAAAACCTTTTATGGTTGGTTTTGTTATCTTTCTCATTTTCTTGTTTAGCCCATTTAATAGCCATTTTGCATTCAATTTTGGCTTCCTTATATGGTATGTAAGGATGCCACTGATGTGTCT